TAAGGAGCCTGAGATATCTGAGTACGAAGTAGATGTGTTTGCATGTACTATTAATCCAGCACATACCATGGCTTCATCAAGAAATTAAACAAGCGTATCTAATCCATCTGCTAAGCATATTCACAAAGCAAAGCTACTCCATAACAGTACACACTTGGAAATGGCATTATCGCAAGTTTTCGTTCTCGCGGTTTCAAATAGTAGCTCTAGGTAAGAGCTCTGATGCAAGACAAGTAAATCCGTGGAGGATACAATGCAGCTTTCACATAGCTCGCCAACTTCTACACTGAAAGATTAAGTTTCACAAACTTGATTCATGTCCTAATGTACACACATTTATCCCCCAATTTCTATGACCACTGTGTCATGTGAAGCATCAACCTGAGTAAGTTTCGCGCGTTTACGGATGTGAAGTTTAGTCCTAACGTAATATGCATTTCTCAAAATTTCGCTGCGTACTTCGGCAACAAAATTGACACTTTTAATCCAAAGAATCTGTCCTGAGATTTACTTTTGGTAATTTACCTTGCTTTTTGAGGTCTATACAACTCAATAGTTGACTGTGGTTTTTCCTCAGCTCACTATTACGTTTTTCCGTTTTTCACGTCAAGACTAGTTTTAGTTTATTTTAACCTTTTGTACCACCCAGTTTATTCATTTTATCCGGTTTTAGTGTGCTGCTTTTTTGTTTTACGGTCGCAGATTTTTGCTAGGATCTACCAAACAATCTACATCAAAATAGTCACGAAGAATTCGTGCAAGCACCGCAGATGCCCTTCTGCTGTTACCTCTGGCATGCAATGTTACACTGGCGAGGGCTGGTTCTACGAAGAATGCACAGATCTTACATTAACCGGTTACAACAGACTCGGCAAGTAGAATCGTACGAGGGTATGTTGCCGTTGCAACATGGATGCTAAGTTTTTTCTGAGGAACATTATCGTCTCTTGACAGGTCTGCGAAAAATGTCAGCAAACTTTAAAAAAGACTGTCCCAAAACAGGTAAACAAACAAAGACGCCCAGTGTAGATAAAAGAGGGGACCTCGACAGCGCTGCTATCCACATGGTATGTAATGACACTAGTAAGGATGTTCCGAAGCTTAGCACTATCATGATATCGACGGTACTGAGCCCCCTCAGCAGACTTTGGTCTCTCAGCTCAGAGTCCATAAATGCAGCGGTGGTCATCGAAAGTTCCTTGGGCGATTGGACTCCCGTTAACAAAGTTAAAAACGACCGCGTGTCACCTTCTAAGAAGACAAACATCGCAGATGTTGTAATGGATTCAACTGGTGATTTGGTCGTACAGTCTACCCCCAAAAATGCTCAACCGGACAGCGAAGACTGCAAGAACCTAAAACGCGATTCAACCACTAAACAACAAGGTCTTCGACCTGAACGTACCCGAAAACCTGGGAAAACGATCACAGTTGGCGATGATTCTCCCAAATCATAAAACCCGAAGACAGCCCAAACCTCCCCTTCAGCCTGCAGGACAAAAATGGCAGTATGCTTTGGGAAGAGCTAAACAAGAAGCACAAACTTCACAGAATACAGCGTTCGACGGTCACACGGCTAACTCGCGGAAAGGACTCGAAGCATCAACATCACCCAAGAGTACTTCGTGTAGCGCTGACTAACACTGTCGATATAGCGAATGTCCTACTGGCTAGTCGCTTACTGAAATCAGGTAAGAATATAAGAATACTGCCTAATATACAGTATTCTGAGCGCAATCTCACCAAGAACATTCTTAAGGAAAGTTGAAACTGACTGTTTCACTTGTGAAGTGTCAAGATAATAAAAAAACGTAGAAAGCACAGAGGCTACCAGCTAGGAAAACTCTGTGTAGGTAGGTTATTTGTCCATTCACACAAGGCTTTTACAGAAAAACAGGACGGAGAAGCTCATGGGATTCAAATTGAAAGCATGAACCGCTTGTATGTGAACGTCACGGGCTTACCAAATAAAATGGATTAACTGCGTGAACTCAGTAATGCTAATAATGCTGATAGGTATGTATGAAACATGGATATATTCTCAGTCTGTTTTCCAAATGATCCGCAAAAACTACAAGCAACGTACAATCATCATGAACCGCACTCTACGTTTGCAAAACTGCAAAAGGTACTGTCGCACAGAATACAAACGAACTGGTAACAACGGCGCATAGAGGCAATGCAAATAAATAAAAGGCTTCAGCACCAGACAAAGCTTATCGATAAACTTGTCACCAATCCGAAAAGCTTATTCTGTTATTCAGCCTCTCCTCGACAAAACAAAACTTAGATTTACCAGATGGTAGGTCCTAATAGTCCGAACAACAATGACAGTGACGCCGCTAACCTTCTTGTTGAGTAGTTCTCTCAAAAATGTTAACCGACCCACACTTAACATATTGCTGAAAGCTTCACCTGCAAATCTACAGGACTTTCAGAAGTGAACCTGAGCTCTGATTTGGTGTACCTGAAAGTAGATTACCTAAAAAAGACTTTTCCCGGTCCGGATATGGTTCATTCTCCTATACTAAGGGAAGAAGCTTCAGTCTTGGCAACACCAATTAGCGCGCTGTTCTTACATCTGCTAAGCTGAGGCACATTTTCGGAAATTTGGAAGCTGGCTCACATCACACCAATTTTCAACGGAGGTCGACGTAGCAACTGGTGGTTCTTCTTTCTACAGCCTCAAAATTATAGAGTCTCTGATATGCTACGGTATACACTAGTATTTATTATCCAAAAACTCCTTTACATACCAACAGCACGGTTTCAGAAGAGGCCACTCATATATAATCAACCTGTTGAGTGCAAGGGACAGATGGACAACCATCCTCGATCGCAAGGAGAAGGTTGATGTCTTTTACTTTGACTTCTCAAGAACTCTCGATAGGGCCAACCATATGTGTCTTATGAATAAGCTCACACGATTAGGCATCAAATCACCTTTAATTAATTGACTCATTCCGTACCTAGAAAACCTACATTTTGAAGTGTTAACTTTACTTTCTCCAGGGCCATCAAATATGTTAGTGGCGTGTCCCAGGGTTCAATACTATACACCTTTCATTGACTTATATAAACGATCTTTCACAACATGTATCGTCAGATTTATTACTCTTTGCTGATGATGTGAAACTCTAGACAGAAGTACGTAACCATGAGAAGGAACAGGGAATTCAGGAGGATCCGAATGGACTTCAAAGTTGGGCAGACGATAATGAACTTAGCTTTAACACTTCAAAGTGTACAGCATTTCACCTGAAACATTTTGCAGACTACAACTACAACTCAGGCAACTCCCGTGTAGAAGTATTTTGAGCTGAAAGAGATCTAGGAATGTTGGTAACGTATGACTTGAAGTCTTACGCTAACTAAGACCAAAATGCCTTTCGAGCAAACCTTGCACCGGTAACACTGAAGTGCATTTTTGGCCAGTTCGACGGAATAACTTTCCAGATAAACTTCAACTGTTGCATTCGTCACCATTTCGAGTACGGAAACATAGTTCTTCCTTCTTCGCTACAAAAGGATAGGGACACTCTGGAACGTATCCAACGGAGAGCCACGAAATCAGTTCGGGGGCTCAACTTCAAGTTTTATGACGAGCACAACCAATCAGTGAACCTTTACGCATCAGAGTACAGGTGTATTCGAGCTGACCTTCCAAAGGCCCTCAGCATCCTTAACGATTCTGAACATCTCCCTGAACATCTACTTAAGCTTAGCTTCAGCACGAACCTGAGGAGTAACACTCAGAAACTGGAGACACAACATAGAAAATCGGACTGTAGACACATGTCCTACTCCTAAAGAGTAGTCAAATGCTAGAATTCGCTACCAACAGGGTCAGTCCAAACTGCTTCCCAGGGGTCATTCAAGACATAACTTGACATATTCATGAGGACCGAGGATGGTGTTGAAGATAGCACAGGTATTCAGTGTTTGACAACGCTTTTACCAGTAACACCCAGTATAACTCGTACCCAAGGAGTTGGTCTAACCACTGTCGATCGGTTAGGTCTCCTCGTTTAAGAATAGAACGTTTCAATGTTTCGTACGGTTCAGAAACATCACTAGTAAACATACTAGGTGTTACGTAACTGTTGAATTCCCGCGGTAGTGCCTTGACTACTGCGAGGGATCGTGCACGTGTGTCGTTCACGCCGTGCTCGTGGGAGTCGGCTTCTGCGTAGCAGAACCAGGCTTCGATACTGTCGGGCCAAAAGGGTATGAGTTGGAACGAGTGTTGGGACATGGTCTTAAGTTTAAATACTTTAGGTGTCTGTTCAGTCATGATGAAATATGGAGTACGATAATGAAAAAGGGAAATATACATATATATATATCCAAAAAGCACGAAAAAATATCACAATATATAAAAATTAAGATAAAGCAATAATATATAGAATCCCAAAATGGAACAAACTCACAGTTTACGATTTGGTGTATCAGATCACGTCGGGTTCACTAATGAAGATGGCACAGGTATCCAGTGTTTGACAACGCTTTTACCAGTAACACCTAATATAACTCGTACCCACCAAGAGAAATCAAAAGACAGAATCGAGGAGATCAGAAGTTGTATTTGACGATTGCCAATATATCGGAATTGTCTGATCTAGTCTGGCTAGCGATTGCAGTAGATGTTGAGCACGGCGCTCCCACACGTGATCTGGTGAGGATGCATGACCGAGCGCCTTCAGCTAGATGAGTCCATTAAAACATGTGGCCAGCATCCAATGTCGAAAACTTACAGAGCTATTTATTTTGGGGATTTATTTACCGCTACAGTGTCTTACTATGATTAACCATTTTTCTTTTTCCTCTTTTGTCGATAATATACCTATGTTCCTGTCTGGAGTTATTGGCGATTCACTGATATGCATAGCGAAGCTTGAGGTTGCAGTCTGAAGGATATTTAGAAGTAGATTAATACATTTTGAAGGAGATTTTACAGCTTCTAATAAAAGTAGAATTATTGTGGCGAATAAAAGAGAGATCTTATTTCCATTTTTCTGGTTCCAGAGATTGGTCAATATGTATTTAGTTTTACATAGTAATTTGCATTTCAGTATATACCGCGCTTGTCGGTCCTTGCGTAACGTCGTTCTTGCTAAAGGTAAGTGTATAGTATAGGTACGAGTGTGTGAGGATCGGTAAAGCAGTATCTAGGTTTATGCAGCATTTAAGTATCCCTGATATTGAATAGTCGAAATGTAGTTCAAAGTAAAGTATATGGATGGCCTCGAATCAAATCTCAGCCAATGGCTGAGGTGCTTAGGATGTTTTTTTCAAAGTCATACAAAAAATCAAAGCTTTCATCAAAGTCTGGAGAAGTCTTGGGGAAAACTCAAAATTTTCACTAAAGGTGTGGGGATTTATCCAAAATAACTAGAAATTTTGGGCAAAACCTCTAGGCTGGATGAAATTATTATGTTTTTGTCGCATTTCTCCGAAAATTTCCAATTCAGCTTACCAGAAACTCCCCTTAATCCGATAAAACTTACACTGAAATCGGGATATTGGGACGACTTACTAGTATTTAGTTACGGAACGATTTCCGGAAAATATTACTATTATGATAAATTGACAGTTACAACACGAAGTTATGCATATGAATTATCGGGGTTCTCACGAACTGACGCCAGCAATAACGCAAGAGCTAGTTCTGGGCTTATGCCTGGTTGATTCAATCTCATACTTCTGTGGAAATATTGTTGTATATTGTTTAGATCGTCAAGAATCATGATGAGAAATTCCGGCGAGACTATAATTTATGGACGAGCCAATCAGATTAACGATAACGGATCTTTAATTTTGGCGCAAAATTCACTCATCCATTTGGCTAAATAGAGTTTTGGCATTATAGCTGATGTCAGTTCGTGATGGAAACTCTATATCTGATTCCGAAACCTAACCATCAACTGTAAATATTAATCCTAACTCCTCACTCTGTTTTATAACCCTCATTTAGCCGTAGTATGTAGGTAAAAATTCTCAGGGTCTCTTTAGCGTCGCTCAAAGGTCGTCCGTAAATTATAGTCGCACCGAAATTCCTTTTCCAACCATCCATTAAATTAATATTTTTGAACATATATATGAATCTACTTCTTTGGGTAAATGGTCTTTCAGCTAGACGTAAACAGACAATGAAGAATTAGTTCCCAGCTATCTAACTGTAGGGTTTTTTGAGGGAGTTTTTCAGGACAATATTAGGACCATCATTACATTATATGCAGATAATCTGCCTAGTTTCCTGCGATCATTGGTTATATTCTCACAATATCAAGATATGCAGATAAATGCGAAGTTCAAGGAGTACTGGTTTCAGAAAGGTCTTTAAAAACTAGCAGAATGTTCCGGCGCTTTATAACTTCATGTAAAAGCCTTTAAGTAAATTTTGTTCCATATTGGCCACCAAGGCATAGATAGATACTCGGTGGATAACGATGAGTCACTCTTTCAAAGGCAGTGATATTCGCTGGTTATCAGTTAGGCTTGAAGATCACTGCAAATTACCGCGGAGTAGCTATTAGGTATTTTGGGACTGGTTGATCAATATTTAGATCTTTTAGCCACTTAAATGTCAAAAGACGATGTTATTTACAGTCTGCATTTCACCGGAACCTGAATATTGAATGAAAGCACCTAAATCTTATCTGAAGTTTACGCTGTCGGAAAATGTCCAAAGGACTACACCTGACTTGATACCTAGGATCTCTAAGCTTTTGTGCTATGTGAAGTTGGCTAAACTAGGCTTATTCTCCTTTCGCAAAAAGATTAAAGATAAACAAATCGCTCTTGATATGCCTCAACTTTTGTATTCCAGAGTAGATAATTTATTAAGACAGTTGAAGAAAGCTTTCAACATCAGCAATACTTTCTTGTTAGCTGAATGCTGATATTCCTATCGAACCATCAATAAGTGAAACATTTTAACTTAACACACCTCAGGCTGACATGTAGTCGAGGTTTGTGACTTATTCCTCTTTATAGGCATTTATGAGATCTATCATTGACAATACATAACCTCGGTCATAGTAAGTTGTTTGTTTTACATGCTATACTGGACCTTATTTATTTATTTATTTGAATACGTAAACATCGATACAAGGGACCATCAAATACATACGCGCCATACAATAAAAATAAAGTTGTGACTAAATAGAGAATGTAAAGTGCGTATAACAAAAGAAGAACAACAACGAATAGAAATTAGTTTATAAGAGCGAAATAGTATTGGTAATAATAATAGTAATAATTATAGTGGGAGTCAGTCAGTCAGTCGGTAACAACGTAAAACTTAGTACGTACGTACATCAGTTCAAGCTGCCACACCACATTAGTACAGAGATGCAATGGTCGATTCAAATCCCGTAGTGGAAGAGGTAATAAGAGTATAAGCAGTAATTGGGAAGATTAATGTTTGATGTTATTTGAAGAGTATAATACAGTGAAATAAATTTGGGAAGAGAAAAAAAGAGACAAGGAGGAATAAAGAGATCAAAGTTTGGGAGAACACAAAGAGTGGATGCACCTGCGCCATTGTAAACAATTTTGAGCCATGTCATTCAGGGTCTCTAACCATCGGTTGCTATCATCTCGTGGTCCTCAACCAGGTAGTCTACACCTACTAACATGACTCAGTCCACTTGTCAGTGACTTCATGGATTTGTGCCATGTTTCGGTCTGGCCGCCCCTAGCTTTCTTCCAACCTACTCCTATACCACTGAACATCGCACGTCGAGGCAGTCGGTGATTGGGGATACGTGACACGTGTCCCAGCCATCTCAACTGATGAAGTTTCACTACTTCATCAACTGATTTGCCATCCTTACCTAGTACCCGTTTCCTAACAACTGAGTTACTTACTCGATGGTCCCATGATATACGAGCAATGTTTCGAAGACACCTATGATCGAATATTAGTAACCTACGGATATCCTCTACTCTTACCGGCCATGTTTCACTGCCATAAAGTAGGACGGAACGAACTGCTGCGCAGTAAACCCGTCCTTTGGTTGATAGACGGATATCTCGCCTACGCCATAAATGACGCAAGTTGGCTAAAGGTAGTTGAGCTTTCTGTATCCGTGGAGACTTCGTCACACACCAGACCACAAGGGCTGATGAGACTTCCAAGATAAGCGAAGCGATCGACACACTCAACTACTTCACTCCCTATCATTAGTTCGGGTGTTTATGCAACCCAATCCTAAAGCAACATTTTGCATTTCGAGGGGGAGAATCGCATCCCGAACATGCTTGCATTGTTGCTTAGAGTGGTCATAAGACTGCATTTTGTCAGCGTCTTCACCAAATAAAACTATGTCATCAGTATATTCCAAGTCAAAAAGTGAACCTCCTGGTAGAAGTTCAACCCCTGGAAATCTAGACGAGGAAAGTGTTATCTCTAAAAGTACGTCGACGACAAAGTTGAACAAGAATAGAGAGAGTGGACATCTCTGACGAACACCACTTGAGGTAATCAATTCTGATGACAGTTCGCCGTAAGCTCTCACTCTACCAGTTGTGTTCGAGTAGAGAGCCTTTATAAGGTTAGTGTACTTCTTTGATACTCCTTTCAGTGACAAACACTGCCATAGAACCTCACGATCGACAGAGTCGAATGCCGCCTTAAGGTCGAGAAATACTACCATTGTGGGGCGTCTGAATGTGTGTCTGTGTTCTAGAACCTGACGTAGTGTGAATATCTGATCTATACAACCACGTCCAGGTCGAAAACTATCCTGGTTTTCTCTAGTCTGCTCTTCACGAACTTTAGTTAGGCGTCGAAGTATTATTGAAGCTAACATTTTAGACACTATATTAGTCAAACTGGTTCCTCTATGATTGTCACAAGAGGACTTTTGTCCTTTCTTAAAAACTGGCACAATCAGTGATTGAGACCAGTCAGATGGGATTACGTCCAGTTCTCAAATTCTACCTAAGACCTCAATTAATCTCACTGCTTATACTGGACCACCATCCTTAAAAATCTCAGGAGTAAACCTGTCAGGGCCTGCTGCTCTCCCTCGCTTCAGATTTCCTATGGCTTTCTCAATTTCGTAAAGAGTCGGAGGACCTACATTAACTTGCCATTCAGGTTGACTAGAGATCGTGGGAAACCGAAGTGTGGCTGAAGGCCAGTTGAACTGATCCCTAAAGTGTTCTGCCCATCGATCCAATCTCCTGGATTGAGAATGTATAATATGACCATCTTTCTCTGAGAGTGTTTCGCTAACAGTCGGTTTCCTAATACCGGATTCCTTAACAAGTCTGAACAATTGTCTGCTATTACCGATTGCCGCTGCCTTTTCTATCTCTCTTGCTTTCGCCACCCACCACTGTTCACGATCATTGCGTAGACTTCTTGTCAGCTTGCGCTTAAGCTGACTCCGCTCTTCGTTATGTTCAGAGCCAGGTGGAATGAGTTTCCGAGCACCTATCAGTGAGATAGATGCTTCTGAGATCCAGTGTTGCTCCCTAACCTTCTGGTTTACCTTACTAGCAGATATCACTGCTGTTTCCACAGCTTTCCGGATATCATTCCATGCTGCCTCAGGGTGGGCATCACATACATGGCTGCCTAACTGTTTTCCTAGTTGTTCCTGAAATATACTCTTAGCTTGACTATCATTAAGTAGGGCTTTAAGAGGTTTACTTGCAGCGTCTTTCCTACGTCCAATAAGACGCAGACAGATACGTGCTCGTACTAGAGCATGATCTGAATCTAAGCATGTGCTCCAGAATGAGCGACAGTCTCATGTGTTGTTACGGGTATGAGGGCTGATATCACTTCCCGGCTGCCCATACCATGGAAGTGTATTTCTTGAGGAACGTGAAAAGGAAGTTGGATTAATGTTGGCCCTGACGACCTGGGAGCGTGACCGCAGAGCCCAAGAAACAACTGCTTGAGGCCGGTCGCGCACGGCCTTTTCGTGGAAGGTTTTTAATGTGTTAGCTCCGTTCTTCAAAGGGCCTTACCGCCGGAGACGGAAACCCGTGAGGTAAGGTGAGGTGTGATATCTTTAGGGTCGAACTTTTCTAACCCCACCCCTCCTTGTGGGAAGGCAGCATCGCTGCAGATGCTGGTTGTCCGAGGGAAACACTTTACTG